TTCATTTATAGAGTTTATGAGAGACCTCCAGGCAAATAACGAAAGAATTCAGACCACACTATCGAACGAAACAAAGGATCAACATCGTTCGAATATTTGAGTGTATTAACAATGTTAGCATTCAATGAACTTGAACTTGTTGGAACAATCTCATTGAGATGCCCAATTTGAATTTAAATTTGAATATAAACTTGTTAGATTTGAAATTTGTTTGATATGTCAATTGAGCATCGAAAACCTCCCAAAATAGTTTGACTAGAATTGGGCTTAATTTGACTTGAATTGGTCCAACTTTAACGTCATTGTGTTCTTGTCATAGAGTATGTTAGTTTGACTATGAGTTTAGTAAAATTGAAATTTAAATATTCCTTACTTGAAAAACTACCCTGAAATTTGTGTCACATATCGACATTCATGCCTATGATGAAAATTTGTTGCTATTGCATCCTTTATAAATATAAAAATTTAAATTTATGTATTAAGCTCATAAAAAGTAAATACATAAAAATTGTATGATATATACGTAAATATCCAAATAAAAAGAAAAGAAAAAAAGCATATCAACCTTCACTCTAACCATCAAGTTTCAGTATTATTTTCTTCTTATCCTCAACAATAACAACAAACCGATCAGATCACTGAAATAAAACATAAGAAATGATTAATAACTATAAAAAAAGGTTTCAACTTTCCATATAATTTAAGTGCCTCAACAGAGAAATTTGCAGCACTCCTCCATCCAATAACCCAAAACTACCAACAAGCCCTCATCCCCCTCTTCTTCTCGCTCTTCTTCCCCACTGCCCTAGCCTGAGAATACAAAAATGTCCCAAAGATCGCCATAGCTGATCCCAGAGCATTCAAAGGCCTAACAGCATTCCCAAACACAATCACAGAGACAATAAACACCACCACCCTCTTCATCCCATCACCAACAGAGAAACTAACCCTGCTACCCTCATTCCATACCTGATACAAACCTTGGTTGCACACATGATAGAACAAACCAGAGAGCAGAACCCAAGCACAGAACAACTCCGGCGAACCAACCCGCACAATCGCCGCCCTGTAACCCTGCACCCATTGACTCCCCTCCACAACAAAAGCAACAGGGAAAACAAAAAACAGAGAGGCAACACAGATCCAGCCGTTGAGATTGATCCCATCGACATGTTTAAACTCATTGAAGCTCTGCTTCGAGTAGATATTTCTCAAAACGAAACCAATGTTGCTTATGAGCGCGCTCCATAGCCCGGCGGCATTCAAGGATACTTCCGTTGCAGCAGCGAGGGAGCACCCTGCGACGATTGGGATGACTGAGAGCCAAATGTGAATGGGGTAGAAGTGGCCATGGAGGGCGGAGAAGATAACAGAGAAGACTGGTTCAGAAGCCTTGATGACTTGAGTGAAGGAGACGGTGAGTTTGGAGAAGGAGATCATGGCGGAGATGTGGCCGACGGCGTGGAAGAAAGCAGGGCCGAGAAGTGCGAGAAAGAACTCGCGGTTAACGGGGGGAAGACGATGAAGTCTTGTAGCCCACAGTGCGGCCATCCAGAGAGAGCTCATGAGGAGCTGAAACGAAGCTAGAAGCCATGGATACGGGAAAAAGGTGAGAGCTTTTTTGGTGTATATGTAAAAGATTACATTTTGGAAATACCAGAGGCCGAAGATGGCCGCTAGCTTCACCCTGTTGTTTTTTGCTTGCGGTTTTACGGCGAGGAAGTTGTGGTTGATTTTGACAGAGGGTTTCTTTTCGCCGGAGAAGTTGATATTTTCCGGCGCCGCCGCGGCTTTTGGGATTCCGACGAGTTTAGCGGTTGAGGTTGTTCTGCGGAGAAGCGAGAAGGAGATGTGGTGGGTGAGGTTATGGGTGCGAGTGAGTCTGGTGAGGG